CTGATACGATGGACGCACACTGGGATGACTACTTTGAAGATGAAGAGATAAACGAGGGAACCCAAGTTGCGGTGGGAGCTGAAGACGAAGAGAAAACGAAACAGCAAGAACGTGCTAAGATAGCTATGTACAAGACAGTCGTAACTGGAAGCAAGGCCGAGGCCTGGGAAGCATTGAGGTGTATGGGGCGTCCGATGTGGTACAGCACTTGCCCCAATCCTGCGGATAGAGAAGACGTGATCAATCTTGCGGCGAACAAGCTGCTACTGGGGATTCCCCCTTCGCAAAATGCGTACAACAAGGATACCATGCTTGGTGTCGCCTCCATGCTTTGCCGTCTGGGCGTGCGCCCGCATTCAACGTCGGCTCTGGCATCTCGGTCGACTGCCGACTTCATGGCGATTCTCGCGTATGTGAATTTCAAACGAGAGGGTTACGTCACCAGCTACGCTTCGGACCCAGTGCTCGCCTTAGGAGCGATGAAAGTGTGGTATGAACTGAAACATGGTTTGGCAAAGTATATCCTGCCGCAACTCAAGAACCTCCTTTTGGATGAAGCATTAGACACCGGTGGAGTTGGCGAAATTGGCGAGATGGTTGCTCGGATTTTGCTGCTTCTGGCGATGGACACGTGTGTGATGGGGGACAAAGACTTTTCCCAGTGCTACCACACGATCGGGCAATTTGTACCGGTGCAGGATTTCTTGGACGTGCTACAAGGCAAGAAAAAGCTGCCGATATATCTCAAGAGGATGATCAGCAAGGAGAATTTGAGACCAGAATTCAACAAGTGGTGCTCGAAGTGGGATGGTTGGTACGTGGGGTTCACCCACTTTGTGCAGTTGCAGCTCGAGCCGAATGAGGACACGCTTTGGTTTTTGCTGGGACGTCAGGCTGCGGGTATTTTCCCCCGTAACCAGAATGGAGCCGATTTGTTGATCCCGATGTTTAAGAAGAGATCCAACAGCAGGCCAGTCGGTGGGGAGACTACGAGGGGTGAGCAGGAGGGGCATGAGGTGTTGATGATGTTGATTCAAGTGAAGAATCGTTCCCCAGTCGATGGAGAATTTTCCAAGGCAGCGACGGAGAGACTAGGCCCCTGGTTTGTGTTCGGAAAGAACAGTGATGGGAACTCGTCAGCGGGGAAATCTACTGATGAAATTGGTAGGGATCCGAAACCGCTGGGTTCCACGGATGTCCGTGATACCATTCGCATCTACATGAATGTGCGCGGTAGAACGCGTGACGGCAAGTTCATCTATGCCACGACAATGAAAGACAATCTTAAGCCCAAGAAGAAAGGCAACGCCTCTGAGGTGAAGGAGGAGAGTCAGACGATCGGGAGTCAGGCGAAGAAGCGGGCGAAGATCGAGAGCAATCCTGGCGTCTCAAGTGTGTCGAGTGTCTCGGAGGAGGATCCTGTTTTCACGATCTGCCTCCGTTTACTCAACAGGGTCACCTACCCGTTCCTGAGCGAGGACGTGGCTTCCATTCTATCAAACATGGTGGAGTCTCAGTATGACCCGCTGGGGCTTGTGGAGGGCGACCTGGACTATCGCGATGAAGATGAAAAACGAAACAAGGACGTTAGTTCGTATGCAAAGTTGTCGCTTACCGCGAAGCGCGACAAGTTGTTGCAGAACGCCCGTAAAGCACTAGCGTACGCGCCGGGTGACAAGGAAGAAGAGTGACGCTGAGAGTGACGTTGGTGGCAGTGGTGAGGGCCACTAGGCGATCAAGGTGGCGAGACGGAAACATCCAAGAAACGAGCACGTGAAAACCAAGAGGGTGAAGAAGGCCGTCCCACTAAACGCGCCAAGTGATCCAACAAGACGCCCAAGCCCACACCGAGGCAGTAACAGTACGTACCTGGTGCCTGCAGCAACTAGTTTTAACTACCAACAATTTGTTTTACTTGAGAGTACGCAGCCACCTCCAGTACGCTTCACCTTGCAGTTCTTACGGAAGTAGCACGTCTTTTGCTGTCTACGTCGTCTTTACTGCTCTACCTACTCGTCCTGCAGGAACGGGTATTATAGTCCGTGTACCCGCGCGCGTCGCCGAGGTAGAACGTGTCCGTGTCGTAGTCGTTCACGGGCTTGTTGAGTTGGAAGCGCCGCACCAGGTCCGGGTTCGAGATGAAGTGGCGGCCGATGGCCACGGCGTCGGCCGCGCCCTCCTCCACGATCTGCACGGCCGACTGCCGGTCGAAGCCCGACGCGGCGAGGAGCACGCCCTTGTACGTCTCGCGGAACTGCCGCGCCGAGCCCTTCTCGGGTGCCAGCGGGTCACGCACGTGGTAGCCACGCGGCTCGATCAGGTGCGCGTAGGCCAGGTCGTAGTTGTTGAGCCTGTTCAGCACGTACGTGTAGGTGGCGACGGGGTCCGAGTCCTTGTTGCCGAAGCTGCCGCCGAACGGGGACAGTCGGATGCCCACCTTGGACGAGTCCAGACTCTCGAGGATGGCCTCCAGTGCCTCGAACAGGAAGCGCGCGCGGTTCTCGACGCTGCCGCCGTACTGGTCGGCGCGGTCGTTGATGCCGTCGTGCAGGAACTGCTCCAGCAAGTAGCCGTTGGCGGCGTGCAGCTCGACGCCGTCGAAGCCCGCTTTGAGGGCGTTCTCCGCGGCCGAGCGGTAGTCCGACAACTGCAGGAACATCTTGCCGTGCACGGCCTTGGTCACGTTGCGCCAAGCCTCGATTTGCGGAGCCCCAGGATCCGCGGCCCGTGGGCGTGATGTTGGTGGCCTCGGCGATGATGAGGCCGCCGGGCGTCGCGCGCTGCTTGTAGTACTCGACAACTGCAGGATTTCTCGACGT